ATTTACTTCCTTCACTGTAATTTCGCCACCTCGTCGAGAATTTTTATTAATTCAAGATTTTATACGACTCTCTCTTTTCCACACGTTCATTCATTTATAAAGTTGTAAAATGGAATTATATTTTTTTTTCTTAGAGAGTAAAGTAAGAAATATGTTGATGAGAGAATAAGAAAAGAAAAAACTGAAGAGTCTATTAGGTTTATCACGATATTATGCCACGATTTCTTTATGCGTGTCTTTAAGGAGCAGCGAATTGATATTTTATGCTGGAGCGTGCATTACGATGATGATGATGATGCATGTTTATATCAAACAAAAAAAAGTAGAAGCATATTTCACTCTGATCACGGTTTTCTGGAGCATGATTTATCCCTTGTAATTGAAGTGCACAGGATCCGTTTTCGTATGCCCGATTTAACGTGTTTGGTCCAAGAGCAGATTCGATATTTTCGAAAATCGATGATTTCTATTTCATTTAACATTGAATTCTATTGAGTTTAAGTACATAGCTTTGTTGCGATTTAGTTCGTAAATCATCGAATAAATTTTAATATACGAAACGATTATTTGCAAAAATCTCTACAATCCATCAATTTTCCTGTCGTGCCATAATCATTTTGTTGTAATACAAGTGGAAAAAAAAGTATTTACCCTAAGAATTGGATACTTCAACAAAATATCCCTCACGTGATCGATCTCTTCTGTATAGGAAAGAAAAACGATTATAAAACCTGTGGCACGAAGAATTGCCTAATGGTAGAGTTTAAAAAGCTATTGGAATACATTAAAAGATCAATTTTGCTGTCGTGCCAAGTATTTTATTGTTTTGTTAGGTTAGGTAAAGTTAGGTTAGGTTTACACCTTCTAATGGTAGAATTTAAAAAGTTGTGGAAATATTTGAAAAGATCAACAATAAGAAATGTAATAAAATGGAACAATATGTTAAGATTTAGAGTTTGTATAATAAGTGTAATTACTCTAAAAGTTAACTTGAACAAAAACATTTAGATTGTTTTGATTTGGTGTTAATTTTAATTATAAATTAATAAATAGTTAATTGAAAGATTAATTAATGGAGATTATTAGTTTGTAGAGTGAGTTGAAAGTATAAGTTTAAGAAATTATAAAATTGAAGTTAAAAATATTTCATGCGCAACTTTGTGTGTGTGTTTGGGAGGAGCGTTGTTTTAAGGGGTTAATAATGTGAGCTGAAAGTGTCTGAGAAATTTCAAAGAGCGGCGATAAACATGTAACATGCAAGAGTTTAAATTCATTAAGTCCTCGGGAAAACACTTGGGACACTTGCGTGTGTCGTCTCCGTCGTCGCTGTAGTCGGTGGCAGGATGATGATGATGATAATTCTCCGGCACTTCTGCAAAGATTTATCGCGCGCAACCCTCATTCTCCGTCACAAGAACACGTGATGTGTATGTGTGCTCTTGGACAAACGCCAGAATGGTCTGCGGAGGGTCAAGCACATTCCGACCTTCTCCATCTCCAAAAAAAGATATGTATTCCATATGGATATGCACGTTCCTCCACCAAAAACCGAAATCCCATTTCCGTCCGAATCCTCAATCAATAGAATATAAATCAAATGTGCAACTGTTGTATTGAAGAATCTACTTTCACTACATTACAGATGCATTTATTAAAGTTATCAAATTACTTTTACAATTATTTCTGATTAAAGAAAATAACATTACGTGAATTCTACCAAAGAAATATATAAATCAAAAAGTTCATCTTGCCTTGAAGATATTTCGCACGTAGTGAAACACACAGTTCGATCATCTGTCCTGCTGCAATTTCAGTTCTAAATCCGTTTCTCGCTCGACATCATTCATTATTGATTGATCACTCCTCCTCTCCCACTAGTCCACTTTGCGTGTGACGCCAAATCCGATTATCCTCGACCAACAAGATTTTTCTCACAACATTTTCACAATTTATTTCTGCAATTTTATATTCGGATGCCAGAGACGGTCCAGACGTGTTCAAGAATCCGTATGCTCTGTGATTTTCCGAATGTAACAGCAAAGCGTACAGATTCTAAAACGCGTCACAACCGTGTAACGTTTTATTTTTATTTGCATTGTTGATAGTTTTGTTGTCTCATCACCAAACAAACGTGTGTTTTCACTAACTCTTTTTTTTATTATTTCAACCATGAAATTCCATTACGGTAATGCGAAACCGCGATTTTCGCATATTTACGCAAATACTTGCGCAAGAAAAAAGTGACCATTGAATGAATGAATGAATGAATATACATGGGGGGGATTTCACGCAATTTCTTTAAACTTTCCGCGAAAGTTTGCATTCTTATTAAAGTATTAGCATATTTCTTGCGAGGATTTGTTCATTCGTAAGACTGTTTTTTTTTCTTCTTTGGTACGCATAATCTCGCTGAGTTGATGAGGACTTGTGCACCTAAATCTCGGGTAGGTGCAAAGACGAGGATGATTGTGCCAATATCACTTACCGAAGTGAAACAAGGACACGTACTTTAGTGGGTCTCGGGATTACATCTCTTCCCTGAGCACGAACGAGACCGAAATGCACGATCTGCTCTAAAATGGAATCGATATTCAACCTCGCCGATAAATAATGAACGGGGTTTCAATGTTTATTAAAGACGACCGTGCTGTGTTATTATTATTGATGATGATGATGATACGAATCTTGAATTATGGACAATTCCATTAGTGATAAATCAATGCTCGAAGCGTTTGCTATTTTGAAGGAGAAAAAACATTGCGTTCGAAGCAATAAATTAAGTTTAGTTGCCGAATTCAATCGATTCGTCTGTGTAGTAAGAATAAGCAGCAAAACCTTTACAAATTACATCAAAGTTTTTTCCGGAAATAATAGATTTCGCCCCAAAATTATTTAGGTTTGAGTCTATAGTAACTAAATCAATGGCACAAAAGTATGCAATTAAATTGCGTAAAATTTGAATATGAATGTTATAATTTTTTTTTTTGGAGATTTTGCTCATAATGTGTCCACGCAATTTCAGGACACGTGCACGCTTTTTAAACGTACGTAACGCAATAAATAATTTGCGTAGAAATTTTAATGTGTTGCAGCTTTTTTTGCCTCGTTGGTCGTGTTTCCATGCTTCATATAAAGTACGTGTGTATTATATGAATGTATGCTAAGTTCAATTATTCATAATCTGCACTGGTCCACGAAAACTCTTACATAATTAACAAATCGGAACAGCGAAATCCCATTATAACTTCAACGGTTACGGCCTTTCTGGCCTCTGATGCTGTTGTGTGTGTTATCCACCTTTCCAGCAAATCTGTTGAGGGTTGAATTTGATCAATAAGTGAAATGCCTACTAAAAAAATGTAAATCCAAATTTAGATAAAGTTGGAGTTTCGCGTTTTTTTTTACTAATATTTGACCCAGATTTATTTCGTTGCATATGTACATTTTTTTTTTATTTTGTTTGGTAAATCTATTTCCTCACTTTCAGGCGCTATTTTTTTGTTTAATGGAAAATCCATTCGATTTAAATATTGATGGAAATATAATTTTCGGTAAATATTCGTTGATTATTGCTGCTGGATTCTATTCAAGTTGGCTGATCAAAAAGAAGGAACGAAAGTGGAGGGAAGTTTGTAGTTTATTCACTTTGAAGTTCGATTCGCGTTTTCGCATCCTTTGATCAATTTTTGTTAAAGAATCATAGTTATCTCTGATAAAAAAAACAAATGAGTTTTTTTTTAATTAAAACTGTTTTTTGTTCTTTTGTTTCAGGTGGAAATTGGATGATTTAAATAAGATTTTAACGTACGCTACAAAACTATATCATTACGTGCGTTTTCGTCGACTGAATAAGATGGATATTTCAGCTGGAAAACGCTGTAAGTGTAATAACTCACGATGCTTTAACGTTGTTCAGACACTGCTTTTCGAACTTTCCGCAATGCATAAATCACATACATCATACAAATCCGCACTGGATTCAATAATGAAAAGTGCATAAGATATCACAATTCTAACTAAAGTAAATACTCACCTTAATAATAATTTAAAAAGAAACTAATTATTTTTTTATGTTTTTGAGAAAAGGATTTTCACAGGAATTGTATTAATCAATGATTTTGAATCGGGGTTGCGTTAATTACTCATTACATTTATTGATCGAATTAATAAGTACTCGCTAAACATTACAATGATTAAACTTGAACAAATTAGAGTATGTTGTTTCGTGTGTGTGTGTGTTGTTCTCGTGCGATTTCGACGCACACATTAAGTACAAATATAAAACATCCTTAACAGTATAACGATATTTCAATAAACATCACTAAATCGGTAGATTACTCGTTCGTAGACTAGAAACAAAGAATCGACATTCAGTTATAATCGTTATCAATTTGGCGAAAACTAAATACAGGTGAACGTTAAGCCCTAAACGCCTACTTTCACAAATCGTGCAATAATTTCTGCCCTAAGCTTACTGATTATGTGTTTGTTATAATATTAATCAAGTGATTAAAAATTCGTTAAGGTAATCTATTCGAGTCACTAAATTGCGAATTAAATATATTTATTATATAGCATTAACAAGTTAGGAACGTGTACTAAATAAGAAAAGAAGTAGGAAACGAAATGGAAGCTAAAAACTAAAACCCCTCCGAGAATCCTTTTAAATTGCTTTCGTATTATATATTTAACTCTATTTCTTGTAGGTTTTCGCTCCTTTAAACCGGATTGATTATCAAAATCGCCCAGCGACTGAATCCGGCCCATTTCGCTTCCGGATAATTCGCGCAATTTCCTATTGGCTGAAACCCCCGAGGGGATGGAAAGAGGAAAATTTGATGCGCGCGTAATTTGAATTAAACGACATATCTTTTTAATATAAGGTCAATTTGACATGTAGAGGAAGACTATCAGATTACAGATTTCTTTATTATTATTATTAATTTTTCTCTCGTTAGTTTAGAATATATTTAGAATATTTATTTACTTATAGGTTTTGGTATTGTTATTTGTGTTGTCAACTCGCGTCTTCGAGCGTTAGCGTGGATTAGTGGATCAGGACGAGGGCAAGGGCTACTAAGGTGATCGTCAGAAAAGCGAGCGCTCCAGATGTCGGCGAAGAGTTGCAGCCGTCCTCCGTGCAGCAGTAGGTCCTCGTGCTCAAGAATTCTGCAAGCAAAAAGATAAGTATCATTAACATAATCAATCGACTTAACGTAAACATATTGCCGTTAGTTACGTACTTCATTTGTTTCTATTGTTTCAAATCCATTTGTCAGAATGACAGAAACAGGTGACTGTTTTTTTTTTGTATTTTTTCAGCTGAGCAATTTTAATATTTTATTCACCCTCTCCGTTTTTTGTTTGTTTAGGCTGTTGCTGTTTTGTCGGTCGTTGGGAAAATGAGATGCAATCAATAATAACTGGAACTCGTAAAGTGTCAGGCCAACAAAAGCTTTACGACGAATCGTCAACAGGGAGAATTTGATAATCATTTTAAAAGGCCATTTATCATTGGGGTCGATGGAAAGAGGAGGAGGAGTGTAATGAAATGGAGGTGGAGGTGTTTGCTTCAGCGTCAGGACCCGATTTGCATATGAAATATTTAATGATGATCGCAGCTGCGAAATTGAGGAATATTTCATAAGTTTGTAAGTGACCCAATTAATATTTAGTAATCGTATTAAAGTTGTTAGTTTTAGATTTCCAATGATTAATTCTGATGTCAACAGTTTTGGAGCTGAAACGTAAGTTTTTGAGTTTAAACATAATGAATAATCGGAATATGCGGCGTGTTCAAAACAACAATTTATGCGTTTAATTAGTTTTCCTTGAAAATCGATGATTAATATTCGTCTGAGTCGTTTTTCTTGCGATGATGAGGGGGAGAATGAAGAATGGTGTAAGATCGGAGCAGCGCTTATTGCCAATATGATGAATCTCTCCTACGTCAGGTTCGATTTGTAATCGCAATAATACATCCTCAGGCGTTATTAATTGATGGTAATTAGCGTCGGATCTTCTTGCAGCATCCCTAATTTATGGCTGGCGGTGGATGGTTCTGAACATCCGCGACGCCGTCATCCCTCGACCTCAGGAAAATCCAACAGTTGGAACTCGTCCGCAGAAGCATCATTAAGTGGAACGCATAAGATAAATTATGATTACCTTAATGGATGTACAGAAAGCGGCTTTGCAATGGGAGATGAATTGGATTCTCTTTGTGGACAGGAATTTAATATTACAATTTCTTTTAATGAATTGTACTCTGAATATAGTCAGAAACAAAGAAGGAAAGCACTTGAATTATTATTAGTAAGTCCACTTGATAATATTTTTTCAAATTGAAATTGTATTTGCTTTTTTTTAGGTTTAATACAAGATAAGTCTTCGCTAAGAATTGGATAGCTTTGAAACTGAAGAGAACTTGAAAATATGAATCGTGACAATTGTATTGGAAGGTAAATATCCTCGCAATACGTTTTCTATCTTTTTGTTCTTTGCGGGGAAAGAAATGAAGATAGAAAAGAAGGGCGAGAGAGAGAGCAGGAAATTCATTTCGTCTCGGGGCGGCGGCCTCACGTGTTTCCGCTTTTCCGGCCGGAGAATAAATAACATCAAGTGGTGTGCAAAGACCGCAATATGTTCGCCACCTACAAGGCCAACCTTCTCTCTCTCTCTCTCACCCCTCAAAAGCACACAATACACACATGGAATTATTAAACTTTTAGAGCGGGGCGCGCGCAAAGAGAAAGATGGAATATAAAAATGTAGTGAGTGAAAGAAAGAAGGAATATGAGAACCTGAAAGGAAACCGTAAATTAACGCAGACATAATATAATACAGGAGGGAATGGAGAAAAAGTGCGAAGCAAGAAAAAAAATATGAAACATGTATGGGGGCGACGGGGGATTTATATTTTTCTTCTTGCACCCTCATTTGTTAAAGGGAAAAAGGGAAGTGTACATCACAAATTGAACTTCTCCCCTTTTCATTCCTCTACATTTTCTCTCTTTTTTTTTGGTTCTGCAATACGCTGATTGTTTCTGGGTTAATTAAAAACAATCCCGTTCAATTCTCTTCCTTCTCTTTGATCTCGTTTCGCTTGAAAACTTCATACACTATAGTAATAATTACACTTTTGCTTCTCAAACTATTTCTTACAAGACATTATTGAAGTCTAAATTTTTACACATGATTATAGAATGAGCATAAAAATGTATCAAATTAGTTTACCATTTGCATTTAGTAATTGCTAACGAAATATTTGAATTGGAAATGGAGCAGAGTGTCGATTCTCTCTGTAAAATGCGTTTTGGGTGCATTACAACAAAAGATTAGGACAGATTTAGTGTGTGTCGGTGTTTTTGCAGCTGCAAATGGTCGGTTAATTTGTTGCTGCTGCATTTGAATTTATGCGTTCCGGTCTTGGCTTCCGGCTAAATTTCGAAACGAATATGCCGACGAGTGTGCGTTAAATAGAGAGAGAAAGAGTAAACAGGATTATTTCTAGTCAGTTTATGAAACTGTACGCATCTCTCTCTCTGTTCTCTTCTCCCAATTGCAATTTACATCCGAACATTGAATCAAATTTATGGACGAACACGTTAATCCTGCGGCTACAAACTTTACGGTTTTAAGCTGCTGTTTGTTTTGTTTGTAGTTGCTGCTACCGTTTGATTTCCAATACACGTTGTTTTTAAGCCGTTTCCATAGTCACGTTTAAAACGATTTATGTCATATTGTAACTATGGAAATAATGGTTATGAAAACATAACGTTTGTATTGAGATCTAACATTTACTGAACATATTAGCTTCATTATAGTCTCAATTGAAGAAATAGAAACGAGATATGGCCGTAATCTCGATTGGAATGAGCAAAACAGAAACTTTTAGGCAATAATGTTAGAGAGTGTGAGAGAGAGAGACAGAAAATAACTTTATAACAAAAGCCATTAGAGCTAAGCGAGATAAAGATATATTTTTCTTCAATCGCAAGATGATTTCGGTAATGGAAGATTTGCGTATTTGCGATTTAATCGAAGGCGAATTCCACGCACGTAAATACTTTTATCGCCCAATAAAATCGAGACATCCAGACCTAACGTCTCCATTAATTTGCAACTTTTAATGTCCTTTTGCTTTTTTTCTATAAAAGCCTCTTTAAAGTTTTACTTTATTGCAGATGTTGATCTGCTCAAATTTTAGTTTTTATCTGTTTGATTTCTGTTTATTTCATGTTGCTTATTATTTTATGTTTCAGGATGAAAGAAAGCTGCGATTTCCACGTGGTCCCAAGTCCGGGTGTTAAAGGTGTATCAACTTCAATAATCAGGTATTATCAATACAGAAAACGTGACGGATCTCGTTTTGATCCAGTAGATTTATCACACGTTGATTTATCTATTGGATTAAAATTAAATTCCACCAACTATTAACTATTGAATGCTTAGTTGTGCATCGAATTTACGACTGCAGCTAATTGCAAATGATGTAGTTCTTACTGTCTCCCCCCATATTAACATGGAATCGGATAGATCGAGCTCAATTATAACATACGATTTGCGTGGCAATTAGCAATGCACCGCGCGCGGTCGATCTGTTATATGCATGTGCGTATTAATTGTCATCAATTTGTGATTCAATGTTAACTCCTGATCTGCCAAACACATAAAGCGCACACAACACGATTTATAACGTCAACAGCAAGCGACGTCCTAGACAAACAGACGGACGTTTGCACATAAGTATACAGAGCGGTTTTTGGCGAAAATTTCGGTTTAATTACGAGTCAGCATCAACCGGAAGCGAATAAGTAGACTAAAATCAAACTTTTAATTGATCTGTCAATATTCGTGCTGGTTTAATATTTACGATACATATTTGCTTTTGTCGAGTGTTCAGAAGGTTTATTTAACTTTGAGGCTTTTAGTACATTTACATACGCAGATACTAATTGTAATTCCCCTCGTAATTTCAATTGTATTGTTTACGTATCTTTGAACAATATAATTTCAAAATATTTGTTTCAATTAAAACTAGATATGAACTTTCTATACCGCGAACCGTAACTCGTGGTTAAACTTTGTGTAGAGTAACGAATGTGGCGAACACAAGGGAAACCCTTTTTGGTAATTTATGTTTCAACTTTTGTGTGTGCGTGTGTGATATTATTAATTTCAATAAATTTTACAGAAAACGCAATAATTGAGATGGAGAGGATGTTTGAATCGATGTGTTGAAGAGAGAAAAGGTGATTTTGTAAGTTAATTTGTCATGTTTTATAGTATTATATATTAACAAAAGTATTATTTCATTTCCATAGTTAATACAACATAAGAGATGGAGAGGATTGAAATCACGGTTTGTTGATGTGGATGATGTTCAAAATGAAGTTTTTAATGTAAGTTAATTAATTAATACTATTAGCAAATCAAATTATTATTGCAAATATGCATAGATTCTAATTATGTGTGAGATCATAAATTAATTAATTAATTAATTAATCATAATTAACTCGTGGTTAAACTTTGTGTAGAGTAACGAATGTGGCGAACACAAGGGAAACCCTTTTTGGTAATTTATGTTTCAACTTTTGTGTGTGCGTGTGTAAAATTATTAATTTCAATAAATTTTACAGAAAACGCAATAATTGAGATGGGGAGGATGTTCGAGTCGGTGTGTTGAAGAGAGAAAAGGTGATTTTGTAAGTTAATTTGTCATGTTTTATAGTATTATATATTAACAAAAGTATT